CATGGGGGTAAACACCTGAGATCCCAGTGACTTAGGATGCTGAGGCAGGAGGATCACATATTCAAGGCCAGCCTAGGTGACTTAGTGAGACCCTATCTCAAAATAAAAGATAATAAAACATGCTGGTGATGTGGGTCAGTGGTAGAGTTCCCCTGGGTTCAATCCACAGTACTGAGAAAATAAACAGGCTTTTCTCATTAAAAGGTAGGTTGATAGATAGATAGACAGACAGACAGAAAAACAGATTGTAAAATGCCATTCCTATTCTTGTTGTAGAGAAGAGTATGAAGAGAACATTCTCTGGGCACCGAGCATACCCCACAATTGCCATGGAAATCCCAAGGCCAAGGCACACCATTTGAGTTGGAAATAGCAAGGAGAGGACACAGTTCTTACAAGGGTCCCCTCAGGACCACACAGAGACTACGAACCAGATCCAGGATAGGTCTTAGCAATACTCTCACTGCTAGAAATCAGATTACATCCAAGGTGGCCTCTGTGCATCTCAAAGACGTCATCTCTGGTTCAGGAGAGTCCCTCTGCCTGGAATCAACACTACCTAGCTGTGTTTTCTTTGAAACCTATATGCAGGTGAGGGAGGGTGCGGGGAAGGACAGGGGTGGACTGGGCCCCTGACAGGGAGACTCACCAGCACTGCATCCTCTGCTGGCCACAATGAGAAACAGCAGAAAGCTGAATTGGGTCATTGTTAGTCTTAAAAAACAAAGATGAAAGTCACTATCTTGATTATCTTTTTTTTCTTTAACCCTGTCCCCACTCCTTTCTAATCTTAGAAAAATTCAAAGCTCTCTTTGTCTCTTTCTTTTAACTACACACATCTCTGGAAACTAAACCAGACCTGAGCTCCCCAAGGGCTCCCCAAACTCACACAAAGCAAACACCTTCCTTCAACACAAGGCCAGGAGCTGAAGTTCCCAGCAAGTGGAGACTGGATCTTTCTCTGCAGAGGCTCCTAATGAGAAGTGAGAGCAGAGCTCTTTATGAAGAAAACACAGGAGACACAGCCCAGGTCTCCAGACTCACCCTCCCCTGGCATGAAGCCCAAGGAGGTGAGACCTCTGGTTAATACAGGAAAGATATTTAGTGATAATTCATGGAATTAGCAGGACAAATATTAGAGGTCAAGTACTAGCATTGTTCGTAGATTTGCAGATTTCGTGGACTTGTGTATTTTCAAAAAAGACAACAGAGAAGACTAACAAGAGTTGATGTTGATTTTGGCTTTTTGTTTGTGCCTTTCTTTCCTGCTAAGTAAAAACTTTTTTTCAAATACCTATCATCATCATTTCATAGAAAAAGGAAACTTTAACAACAAAATAGGAAAGGTATCTTTTCAGAATGAATATAAGCTTTTAGCTTGAATAAATGTAGTTCCATACAAAGTTTTGCTATTTTGTCCTTAATTTTCTCATTTTGCCACAAACTAGTAAAACTTTACTGCACACTGCATTTGGGATTAAATCAGTAAAAAAAAAAAAAAAAGCCCCTTTAGTTCTTCAAACCTTTTATATCATTCCTGTCCCAATGTTATCCAAGTCCCATCAGCTTATAATAAAAGTAATCAGCTCCTCCTCAGTGACACCACATTCCCTAATATATAACTTCATTGTCATACTAATAACATTGCAACCCATAGGAAAAGATTGTGAACCTCTCTTTGATTAAGCCAGTATTTTTATTTTTATAGATCCAAAATAATCAGAGATATTGAGAGAATAGAATAAAACAGTGTCCATGAAGGAATGCCCACTTCTGCCCCTCTCCTCTCCTTGCACTGTCTGCAATGCTAACAGAAATCTCCTGCTCAGCATTATCGCCAGCCTCAGACCTCTCAAGAAGTCTGAGTTCATCAAAAAGAGGAACACAAGGCTCATTCAGCTGTAGTCAGGCTCTAGTCATCATTTCATAGAAAAAGGAAACTTTAACAACAAAATAGGAAAGGTATCATTTCAGAATGAATATAAGACTTTAGCTTGAATAAATGTAGTTCCATACAAAGTTTTGCTATGTTGCCCTTAATGTCAAAAGTAAGCATAACCAATAGAAACCCAGGGATATCAACAACTGGATTCAGAGAACATTCGAGGGTCACAGATTGATTCTCAATGTTGTTTATGGAAGCAATAAGAAAGGAAAGCCCATGCTACTCAGTGGCTTCTGGAAGTTCCTTGTCCCCAATGTCAAGGAGCTGGAAATGCTGCTGATGAGCAATGAGTCTTATTGTGCTAAGATTGCTCACAGCATTTCCTTCACGAACCTCAAAGCCATTGTGAATAAAGAAACCCTACTGGCCCTCAGAGTCACCAGTTCCAATGCCAGTCTGCACAGTGAAGGAAATGAATAGGAGACTCCTGTGTGTATTTCACTTGTACTTAAATAAACCCAGAAAAACTGCACACACACACACACACACACAGAGACACACAAAGAAAATATATATTCTTTTAGTACTTTTCTTATTAATTCTCAGATTTTTTTCATATTTTGACATCTTTAGTATCATTATACATCCCATCTTTAGTAGTATACACATCATGGAACAGTCTATTACTGATTGATTGAACCTAAGAGTCTAGGAAAATGGTAGATCTGTTTGAGGGACATTATCCCTTCTAACCACCAGCATCCAGTCAGTGACTGTGTCCCACTGATCATACCTCCTACTTCCTCTGCAATCTGTTCCCCATGCCACCTCCTCCAAATCCCACTGCCTTTGACACTTGTTTAGTTAAGGTCTAGATTATACAGGACACATTCAGTGGTGATTAATAAAAACCCCATCTCAAAGTGGCTTAAACAAAAAGTAAATACATCACTTAATGAAGTAAAAAATCTAGAAAGAGGGTAGGATTTATGCTTAACTGACTCATTAGCTTCTCTCCACCAGGCTCCATCCTACCACTGAGTTCAAGATGGCGACTGGTATTCCAGGCATTGCCTACAAGCCGAGGGAGGAGGGCTCATCTTTTCCTGTGGCTCTTTTCAGGAGAGAGCAAGCTTTCTCCAGAGTCCCCCAGCTTCCTGATCCTAATGTCTCATTGGCCTGAGATGGTCACATGTGGCACTAGCTCCATGGGGCTTCCTTTACCCACACTCAGACTGGTGCTCTACACAATGCCAGCCTATCTTCTCACAGGACTGGAGACTAGAAGTCGAAGGTACACGTGCCCAGTTCTAGTTCCTTCTGAGGTCTGATTCCTTCTGAGGCCTCTCTCCTTAGCTGTAGTAGCCACCTCTCTGTGTCTTTACATGGTCTAAGCTCTGAGTGCAGTGCATTCCCGGTGTCTCTCTTTCTGTCCAAATTTCCTCTTCTTATAAGTACACCAGCCATATGGGATTAGAATCCATTCTAATTACTTCATTTTAACTTGATTGCCTCTTTAAAGTCTCTATCTTCAAATGCCATCACATTCATGCTCAACATTTAAATATGAGAACATGATTCACTCACACACCCATTCCTGAAGGAATCCCTGCCCAGGAGAATAGATCTGTCCAGATTGCCCAAAACCATTCATCTGGGCTTGTGATTAATAATGGTGAGTCAAATAACAAGGCTTTCTCTAGTCTCTATTCCAAACATTCCTAACCTTCTTCAATCTCTAGTATTGGCTCCTTTCAATCCCTTCTCCATATTTGTGCCAATAAGAATCCTTGTAAAACACAAGCCTTCCCTACAATCCCATTAAAAATATTCCTGTTCTCCTACATCATCTGGACAACCAGGTTCAAAATCCACGGCACTGGAGTTGTGTCAGTTATCTATTACTAATAACAACCTGCTCAGGAGCTGTGGTTGTTGCTCATTGGTAGAGTGCTTGCCTGGCATGTGTGTGAGGCATTGGATTCAATCCTTAGCACCACATAAAAATAAATAAAATAAAGGTGTTGTATCCATCTACAACTAAAAAAAAATAAATTTTTTTAAAAGTCCATTGCATAACATAGTGGCTTAAAACAACAACCATCTTTTCTTTTACTTATGAGTGCAATTTGAATGTGGCCTGTTTCTGTTGTATATCAGCTAAAATATTTTAGCACCTTATCTTATGTTCACTCATTTACAAATAAACTATCATGATGGGATTTTAGGGTTGATCTATCTAGACATCTGGAAGCAATAGTGTGCCCATAGCTGGTGGGGGGGGGGGGTGTATGGATGCTGGATACTTGCTCTCTCCAGTCTTTCTCTTCCCCACTTTGGTCTTATTTGTATTTTAGCTCAACTTCCTCCATCACTGAATTTCCATATGCTGCAGAACACAGGAATCAGAGGAGTTAAAAGGGTAACTCTAGGACCAGTTAGGACTATTTTAACATTGGCAATGACAAGTTGAAGGCAGAGGAGAAAAATAGCAGAAGATAGCAATGGCAGCCAAATGCACTTTCCACTTACAATACAACCTATGTTGGGGTACAGGAGAGGGCTAGTTTGAGGCTAGGTTGTATGCAGTGATGAGCTGAGAGTTAATGGGAGGTGAGGGAGTGCTGATAGGTGTAGAAAAGAGTTAGAGCACTTGCCTAAGCATGCCCAAGACCCTGGGTTCAATCCCCGGCACTGTAAAAACAAAGAAGAGAAGGAATAGATGATGGTTTTGACAGAACAAAGCTTTTGATGGACTTAGATTCATCATCAATAGCCAGTGCATGTCAAAATAATTCAAAATGTACCCGAGACAGAAAATTGACAGTATGTATATATGTGCACCAAGAGAGAAGCATATGAAAGAAATTCCCTCCACCCCCACCTCACTCCAGCCCAGCATCTATCTCTAGTGACTTGGTTATACTTTCTTATTTTAAAAAAAAGAGAGCTTTATTGTAAACACACACACACACACACACACACACACACACAAGAGAGAGAGAGAGACAGATTCAGAGACAGAGAGACAGAGAGAGAGAGAGAGAGAGAGAGAGAGAGAGAGAGAGTTTAATGAATTACAAAAAGGCAAATACCTGGGTCATTATTATCCTGTTCAAGAAATAGAACTAGCAGCACCCTAAAAGCTTCCCATTTGCTCCTTCCAGATTATAAACCTGTATCTTCTCCCTAAAATTCATCATTGGCCCAACTCTTACGGTAATCAGATTCTGTGCCCATGCCACACTGTCAAAAATATTATAGATTTGTAGCCAGGCATGGTGGCACACACCTTATATAATCACAGCTACTGGAGGGGTGGGAGGGAAAAGGCAAGAGGAGATCAAGTTGGAGGCCCACCTAGGCAGCTTAGTGAGACCCTGTCTCAAAAATTTAAAAAAAAAAATTAAAGGAGCCACGTCCTGTGGCTTATGCTTATAATTCTAGTAACTCAGGAGCTGAGGCAAGAGGATCACAATTCAAAGCCAGGCTTAGCAACTTAGTGAGGCCTTGAGCAACTTACTGAGACCCTGTCAAAATAAAATATAAAAAAAGGACTGGGGATGTGGCTCAATAGTTGAGTGCCCCTGGATTCAATAGCCTATACCCACCCACCCCCCCAAAAAAAATTTAAGGACTAGCGGTGTAGCTAAGTAGTAAAATTCTGGATTCAATCCCCTGTATAGAAAAATAAAAAATATATAGATTTATAAAGTGTCTTAATACCCGTTCTTCAAAACTGTCTTGGTGACTATTGGCCTTTGCATAAAACTTTTTTTGTTTTTCAATACTAGGATGGAACCCAGGGCCTCACACATGCTAGGACAGTGCTCTGCCACTGACTGCAAGCCCAGTTCTTACATAAAACCTTTTAAATCTACTTAAATCACACACTCCCATACAACACACACAAACCTTTGGGATTTTTATATGAATTACATTGACTCTATAGATAATTTTGGAAAGAACTGATGCCTTTAAGGCATCGAATGTGATATATCTCACGTTTATTTGGGTTTTTATTGCTTTCTCATAATATCTTAAAAGTGCTCTATAAGGAATTTTGCCTATTTTTTTTTTATATTCATTCCTATGTACCTGACTTTTTGTTTTGTTTTGGTACAGGGTATTGAACACAGGGGCACTTACCACTGAACCACATCCCAGCCCTTTGTTGTATTTTGTTTAGAAACAGGGTCCCACTGAATTGCTGAGGCTGGCTTTGAACTAGAGATCCTCCTGCCTCAGCTTCCCCAGGTTGCTGGGACTACAGGCATGTGCCACCATACCAGGCTTGTTCCTGACATTTTTAGTGCTGTTGTTAAGTGCTTATCATTTTAAATTTCATTTTCCGTTTGATGGTTATGTAAAAAAAGTACAATTGATTTGCATATTGATTTCATATACAGCAAACACTGTCTTCTCTCTTACCCATTCTGATCACGGATCTGGAGATTATTTTGGAAAATCTGCATAACATCTGAAAATAAGGAGTATCATTTCATCCTTGCTCATCTCCACACCTTTTGTTTCTCTTTCACTGCACTGTGGTTACTTTCTGTATCATGTTGAGTAGCAGAGATCCTCCTCTTCCACCACACAACAAAGATTTCAATGTTGCTGGGGGGGTTTGTTGTTGTTGTTGTTGTTGTTGTTTGGTTGGTTTTTGTTTTGATACCAGGAATTAAACTCATGGGCATTCGATCACTGAGCCGCATCCCCAGCCCTATTTTGTATTTTATTTAGAGATAGGATCTCACTGAGTTGCTTAGTGCCTTGCTTTTGCTGAGGCTGGCTTTGAACTCAGTGAACCTCCTGCCTCAGCCTCTGGAACCGCTGTGATTACAGGCATGCACCACCGTGCCCACATTTATTAGATTCTAAAATCCCCTTTTTAACCTAATTTTCATCAAGAGTGAATATTTAAAATATCTATGAATGGATGTTTTATCATGAATGAATCTTGGATTGTATGAATCACCTTTTCCATCTACCAAAATGATCATATTATTTTTACCCTCATTGTGCTACAAGCCAATAAAACCTACTTGTAGAGTGACACTGATCCCCAAGTTGCATTTTAGAATTATTGCTCCATACATACCTGCTCCCTCCCCCTGTTCCAGGCTCATTCCTCATCTCCCTAAGCTTAAGTGTTACTTACAACTCTCCTCCCTCATTACTGGAATAAAACAGATCAATTCTTCCTGAGTGTTCCCTCATCCCTCCTGCAGAGTTGTATTAATGTAATACCATCATCACTTGATTGTTTATTTTCTCTCACAACAGTTCTTAGGAAAAAAATTTATGTGTCACTCTATTTGTTAAGCCAACACTTTCCCTGAAGATTTACACACCTCCTGATGTATCAATAAGAGGAAATAGAATTGTATCCGGGACTGAGACAATTGTTCACATAAAATTTATACTTCCTATTAGACTAGATTTAACACTTTACTATCTCTGATATCAAATGCATCTTCATTCAATGGCATATCATATTTTATTTTTCACCTTGAATGGTACATAAATAATGATGCAGTCTATCACCTTAGACTTGATGAGAAATGCTCGCTCTGACATTAGCAGAGACGTGGTATGCTGGAATGAAGAACTTCCTGCAAGCCCAAAGATTTGAGTTCAAATTCAGGATTGGGTACTAATTAGATATGTGACATTGGGCAAACCACTTCATCCCTCTCAACTTCAGTTTTCTTATCCACAAAATATGTGTAAGAAGCTTTACCTCAGGGATGAATAGAAGTTCACTGGAGTAGACAAAGAGGATGACGGGGTGGGGGTGAGAATACGAAAGATAGTAGAATCAACTGGACCTAAGTTTCCTGTGTTCATATATGAGTACACCAGCAGTGAAATTCCACATCATGTATAACCACAAGAATAGGACCTTAATCAGAATAAGATATATACTCCATATGTGTATGATCTGTCAAAATATACTGTAATGACATGTGTATCTAAAAAGAGCAAATTTTAAAAATGAAAAACAAAATAATCTTTACTTACAGGATTGCTTCAAGGAGGGAAATGACGAGCAGAGTGAGAACAAGAAAAACGACCTCAGAAAACCATGACTTTTCTTTTCTCCCACTGACAACAGAAGTTCACTGCAGCAGAGAAACTCAAAACTCCATTAACAAGGGGATATGGAGGCTGCATTTCACATA